CAGTTTGTGTTTTGGTCTAATCAAAATAAAGTGGAATTCAGATCTTTATTTTTCCTGAAGGGAATTTTTGTCTTTTTAATATTTGAAAATATTTTATGAATAATCTCTTTCAAAGAATGTCGTGATTTTTATATTATAAACAAATTGACAAAATGTTACAAATATGTTCATTTTAATGAGAAGTTGAATCAAATTCCTGTTTGTCATAAATGAAAGGAGTTTCCTATTTGAACAGAAACATATTTCTTCCTGTACAACCTGTACTTTGTTGTAGTTGTTATTTCTGCATTGTGTTAAAACAGTTGTTTGTTTTTATGTTTCAGGGACGAGTCAGGACCAAGACAGTGAAGAAGGCCGCCAGGGTCATCATCGAGAGATACTACACCCGCCTGGGCAGTGACTTCCACGTTAACAAGAGGATGTGCGAGGAAGTCGCCATCATTCCCAGCAAGCCGCTGCGCAACAARATCGCGGGGTAGGTGGATGACTTCACCTGTTTGAAACAGAAAGGTGTTCTGCTGTGTCCACTCCTTTGTTTCTGTCTGTTTGGTGTTGGACTGAGGAGTGGGTTGGGTGATGGGGAGCATCTTAAACTGAAGGAAAACGTCTGGCAGCAGGTTGAGACTGTCCATTATACCAGTTCATTTCCAGTCAGAACAGCAGTGTTGCCCTCGTTTGGTTGAACAATGCAATCATTTAAACGGAGATAAAAATTTCAGTTATTTTACAGCTGTTTTTTCCCCCCTCTTTTTATGTAAAAGGCTCTGTACACTGGTTCCAAAACACTTTTAATTTGTTTTCCTAAATCATTGCACTCATTCAGGATTTAGATGTTATCAAAGGTTGATAATTAGGAAACAAGTCCTGCGTTACGTGTATTACTGCACTAAAAAGATCACAGAGCCCTGCAGACATGGACTGCACTGACATTTCTCAACACTTTTTCAAAGAAAAAGATTTTGAAATGCATTATAGGCATTACTGACACTCACCTGGTAACACTGATGCACTGCACGTGTAGTATGGAGGAACAAACTGACACGATTAAAAATAAAAGCAGTAATTTACAGTATAAATGGCCCAATAAATAAATGCAATATATACACTGCTCAAAAAAATAAAGGGAACACTTAAACAACGCACGCTAAGTCCAAGTAAATCAAACTTTTGTGAAGCACATTCAACTCTGTACAGAACAAAGTACTCAATGCGAATATTTCATTGATTAAGATCGGGAGTTAGCGTGCGTCGTTTAAGTGTTCCCTTTATTTTTTTGAGCAGTGCATATTTGCTTTTTCCTTTTACTTGTAGTATTTGTGTCTCTTTATTGTGTTTTAATGGTTAATTTTTCCCACCAGTATAATTAAACGTCTTTAGACTGTAAATATTTTAATCTAACCTGAAAGAGTTAGAACTTCAAAGCTGCGTCAGACACTGTCGACCCYTCAGCGTGTACTCAGGTGTCGTTTGTTTCCCAGGTATGTGACGCACCTGATGAAGCGCATCCAGCGTGGTCCCGTCAGAGGAATCTCCATCAAGCTGCAGGAGGAGGAGAGGGAGAGGAGGGACAACTACGTGCCCGAGGTAGGGATTGGACCAGAGCTCGTTCCACTCTGAGACGTTGGTTTCATTTGGTCAGGACATTTCAAACTCGCAAGAAACTGAAGCCCTTTCCACAAATGAGTCGTTTCCACGTCTTTATCGGTTTTTTWAAACTGGTTATATTAGATTTCAGTTTCTAGATGTTTCCATAGAGTGAAGAGAAACTCTGTTTCTGATCCTGTAGATCTCTGCTCTGGACCAGGAGCCCATCGAGGTGGATCCTGACACAAAGGAAATGCTGAAGATGCTGGTGAGCCTTTATTCCACATCTAACATMATACTGTGTCATACATGTCACACTGGCATCCTTTACATTATAACACAGCTAATAAATACCATTTAAATATTTAATAAAACATTATAAAGAGGATTGTTTGGAGTTCCATATATTAAAAGGATAATTCTATTTTGAGGGAGCATTGTAAATATATATCAACCAGGGCCTGTATTTGTCAAACTTCTTAAAATAACTCCTAGGAATGCTGTGAAGAATGAACTTAAGTGTAAAAAAAAATCTTGGCGCAAAGCTGAGTTTAAAGTCAGTTATCAAACGTCTCGGTCTAACTTTAAGCAACATGAAAACAGCTCTAAGACTGAGTTAAAGAAAACAAAGCAAAGTTCAGTCCTGTCTTAAATAGAGCAGACAAGGAAAAAAACTTTTAGATTTTTGACAGCATCATATCTGCTTTCTCTCACCAGCTGATAGTTTAATATTCTCTCCAAAAGCTGCACAGAAATACCCACTTTAAGTTCAACGTTATGCACTGGTAATCAATTTATCACTTCTTTCTTTTGTATTGATGACTAAACCCTAYTTTAATTCCTGTGTACTTTATAACTGAATYACTCAGGTGGGAGACCCCCGGACCATCTATGTCAGACCTCTTGTGGCAACTCTTAACACTTAAGAGAACTCTGGAGCAGTCTTAACTTTTCAGGACAGTAAGAGTGATTCTTAGACTGAAGAATTTTGATAACTTTTACACTTGAAAGCAGGAGAAAATCTAAGAAATTCTCAGTATTTAAGAGTAAAATTCCACTCTAGAAGTTTGATAAATACAGGCCCAGAGCATCAGTCACAGAGTGGAGAAAAAGGCTAATTTTCAGGCTTTTAAAAGTCACGCAGCTACAAACGAACGCTGCGTTAGCTAATATTAAACTTGTGAACCAGCAGACATCAATCCTGAACCTGGAGGGCCACTTGTCCTGCAGGTTTTAGTTTGCCTGCTGTTCAGCAGAGACCTGTTAAAGACTCATTAAAATCAGGTGTGCTGAAGCAGCATACAGTGGTACACAAAGATATGTGTATCAGCACAGACGGTGTTGTGGTTAAATGTTAGCTGATGTAGCATTCTGTTCTCCAGAGTTGTTTCAGAGCTGKTTTATAAACTAAACAGGTTTGTTTGGGTCACTGAGCCTGGATGAAGCCCTGCCTCTGTCACAGCTGATCAGCTACTGTTGATAACTATTTAACAGAACGTCCCTTTATTTTGAGAAGCTTCACTTATTAAACCACACTGTAGAGTTTCTGTGCAGCAGTTCAGTTGTTGTCTGGCTGTGGTGGCTGTCGTTATTAAAGCTGATCATTTTTGTTTCTGTAGGACTTTGGTGGCATCTCCAAACTTCAGGTGGTTCAGCCAGCCGTTGGAATGAACTTCAAAACACCACGAGGACAATAAGATGTTCAACTACCACAATAAAGTTGTAATTATSAAGCACAGACTGTTTTCATTTTCTACCCAGCAAATCCTTTACACTGGTTTTAGTGTTCATTTCATTACAGCGTAACTCTTTAATGTGCAAAATGTTCTTTTTTTTCATAAATTTCCTTTATAAACTATCTGGGAGCAATAATTACTGATTGAATGTTTTCCCCCTTAAACCAGAGGTGACTGCTTGGACCAAGTGTTGAATTTTGTCCTCCTGTAACGAAAGGCCAGTTTCTGTCTAACGAGGAAATCTTGGTTAAATGTTATACAACATAACTCTTGTAGAAATACCAATTACATTTTCCAAAATTATATTTACTAGTAATGTTTACAACATAATATAATGGATGAAGGCAGAAAATTTAGAAAGGTTCCTCATTAGCATTCATTTCTTGTGCCTTCCTTGATTCACTTTAATTATTTCATAAACATACATTTTATTACAATCCAGCAAATCACTTAAAAAAGAAAACTCACTAAAAATCAAATTATTTGATTCTAAAAAATTGAACTAAAATGACAAAAAGAGAAAAAAACTTTTATAAAGTATTAATTGGGGGGCAGAAAAAAAGTTAAGGGCCACAAATGGCCTAAAACATTTAAAAGTCTTTAACACTGAAGCACTGCCTGTATTTAAAATATGGAATTACATGAAAGTTTGCCCAAGAACTGTGGGTTAGTATCAACATTAATGAATAAATGAAATTAATGAAACAGATCAAAGAAACTGGAGGTCTGGAAATGTCCAGGTGAGATTTGATGTTTCTGAATGAATAAATGCCTGACGAAAGGAGCCAGTTAAAGAAGGAGGGTGAATCACAACTACAGAAGACTTCCATGAGCTGCACTAAGATCCAGGAGGGAGGTGGACGCTAGACTCCAACAAGACGTTTGTGAGCAGCAGTTTGGTTTTAAGCCAAACGCGAGCACCAAACATCTGAGTTTATGGAAAAGTACAAACGGCACCAGAAAGAACCTCACTTGAGTGCTGAGGGAGGACTGAAAATGACATTAGAAATAAAATATATAAATGAATCAAATAAATACAATGAATATTAGATTTAAAAAAGAGCTTTACCTCTTGTTTTATAATTGACCTTCATATTTATTTTTCCAGCTTAGTTCCAATAAATTAATTTTCATTTGACTTTTTATTTTTACCTGTACCTTTGTTTTAAGCTGAGCTGAGGCAGCACAACCATGCACAGCAGATAAAATAAATTAAACTCATGAAACAGGTCTGGACAGATATGATAGTATCCTGAACTTAAAATACTTTGTAGCACAACCTTTTGAGTTGACCACTGCAAACGATTCCTTTAACTGTCAGTGAGACTCCTGCAGCTCTCAGCAGGTATTTTGTTCAACTCCTCATGAACAAACTGCTCCAGTTGTCTCAGGTTTGAAGGATTTCTTTTCCAGACAACATGTTTCAGCTGCTTCCAAAGATGCTCAACAGGATTTAGGTCAGGGTTCATAGAAGACCACTTCAGAWTAGTCCAGTGTTTTCCTCTCAGACATTCTTGGCTGTTTTGGATCATTATCCTGTTGTAAGACTCATGAGCTGCGACTGAGACCAAGCTTTCTGACACTGGGCAGCACTTTTCTCTCTAGAATCCCTTGAAAGTCTTGAAATTTCAACATAGCAGCCATGTTTCACAGTAGGGACAGTGTTCTTTTGTATATGTTTCATTTTCCCCTCTGTGAACATAGAGCTGATGTGTCTTGCCAAAAAGTTTCATTTTTGTCTCATCTGTCCAGAGGACATTCTCCCAGAAGCTTTGTGGTTTATCAACAATTAGTTTGGCAAATTCCAGTCGAGCTTTTTATGATTTGGTGTCCTCCTTGGTCGTCTCCCATCATGTCCACTTTGGCTCAAACGACGGATGTTGCRGTCTGACACAAGTTCATCTTTAATCTCTTTAGAAGTTTTTCTGGGCTCTTTTGTTAGAACTTGTCAGAGTTGGAAAGTAACTAAGCACAAATACTTTGTTAATTTTGGGGTATCTGTACTTTAGTAATTTATTTTTAGCCTACTTCTTACATTTTCATACAATTATCGGTACTTTCTACTCCTTACATTTTAATAAAAAGACAATTAGAAAGTCGTTACTGTTTCTTTTTTGCTTTTCATTCAAGCTTGTTATTGTGAAAAATAAATATCCATATAAATTATGCCTCCAACATAGAGTGAAATTAACTGTGGTTGAATGAAAAGTATAAATATATAAAATTCTGATACTAAATTAGTTTGTACACAAACAAATGTCACACTCCAGCAGGACATACTTATTAAAATAAAAGGACTGTACTTCAGAATTATTTGTATTTCATGTATTATATTATTACATTTGGCCGCAGCCCTCAGATTTTCATTTTGGAGAAAAGGTTTGAGCAGCCTTGATTTATTTGTATAAAATGGAACAGCTGGACTAGTGCATCATAAATTTAACATAAATTTATTATTTTAAGACAATATAGTCATTTCTGCATTGTTTTGAGGAGGTCACCTCTTAATGTCATGACAGAATTTTAACTGCTCATTTTAAATCAGTACTTTTACTTTTAATACTTAATTACAAAAAACAACACTTTAAGACTTTTACTCAATATTAAAGGAGACTTTAACTTTTACCAAAGTAATTTTTTGGTAAAATACTTGTACTTTTACTCAACTATCACTTTGTGGTACTTAATACAACATTGCCACTTATTTTATCCATCTCTTTGATTTGTCATCAATTTCCCTCCTGCAGCCATGTCCAGGGAGGTTATGGCTACAGTCTCATGGATCTTAAATTGCTGTAGTCACAGGAACATCAAGCTGCTTGGAGATGACCTTATAACCTTTACCTTCAACATGCTTGTTTATATATTTTTTTCCAAATCTCGAGACGTCTTACCTGCTCTTCCTCTGGTCCATGTTGAGTGGTCCACTCCATGTCAAACAGAACAGTGGGTATCTAGCCCTGTATACAGGCCCACTGACTGATGACAAGACTGTAGACACCTTGATTTAACATGACCTTTGGTCACACTGTTTTCAGGTAGGGGTGTAAGAAAATATCAATACACTGAAATATTGCGATATTTCATTTCCCAATACTGTATCGATATTCTAAAGCCCTGTATCGATTTTTTATTAAGGTATAAAATGTCATCTTTCCTGCCAGCCGTTCATTTTTATGTTGTAGTTCAGCCTCTGACCACTAGTTGGCAGCAGTGAGCCAGACATTTGGCTCCTCTACCTCTTGAGGTAGAGGCTATTGTTTGGTGTTGGGTGACCATATTGTAAATTGTAAACTATTGTCAAATTTAGTCTAATATATGAAACAAAATAAAAATAAAATATGAAACAAATAAAATAAAATACATACAAAGCAGAACACAGCTAAATGTATCAAAACCATGTCTATGTAATGTTAAAATTTCCTGAGACAATGAATTTTGGTTTCATTTTTTCCCGTGAGGTTTTTATTCAATAGAATTTTTGGACAAAAAAAAAATCGCAATATATCGCGATATATCGCCTTGCTTATAGTATCACAATATATCAGGATATATCGTATCGTCACCCGTCATATGCATCGTATCGCCAAATTCTTACCAATACACAGCCCTATTTTCAGGGGTACCATCATTTCTGTCCAGGCCTGTTTTGTTTTAATGTTTTTGAAGCATGGCTGAAAAGCAATGTTCGACTTTCATTTGATCATTTGCATAGATTTTAGTACTTTTGTCAGATTCTAGTTATTACTGACCCCTGTAGGTTTTTCTTTCATTAAACAAGGGGTACCAACAATTGTAGGTATGCAACTGTATAAATCATGCTTTATATTTGATTCAGAGGGGCTATAGGTCTAAAATGAAGAAGAGCCACATTGTTCTAAATAAAACATTTTTCAAGTTATCGTGCAATGTTTTAACTCCACAAGTACTCTGTATCTGCGAGTATCTAAACTAAAGTACTTGTACAGGTTGAGATTCCCTTTTTTAGTGGATTTCAGAGCTTCAGAAGTAATAAAACACTAAGAACACAAACAACTTAATGCTTAAACACCTTTATTGTGCCCAATCTGAACAAACTCCACAACTGTTAAGTAGCAGCAAACTTGGCAGACCACAATGAGGTAGACTTTCAAAACTAAAAAAGCAGCTGGGCTAAAGGACAACAAGCTCAGCATGACAAACCTAATGAGTAAAGTAAAGACACGGAGTCTTTGGCACACAGCTTATTATGCATTTACGTCCAACTGGAACAGGAAGGCAAAAATTGGATAAGAAAGCGAGGGGTCGTTTACAGGGGTCTACTCAAGCTCTGAAAGATAAATTAGCATCAGCTAAGTGGAAGTTCTTACATCCAACAGGAAACATGCAGCCCTTCTGACGGGCATGTCCCCCGCTGATGTACAAAGTGATTAAAACACTGCCACCTCTCCACGCGTGCAAATTAAAAAGTGGGAAAAAGTGACCAAATAAGTTCAGTTTCAAGAGCATCCATCACTTGCTTTAAAAGTGATGGATTACCTGTTGAAACTTATCCAGTAGTACTAATACAAATTTAATAACTAGATCAAAGCAAGTTAAAGTAGTACATCCAACATTTGTGCCCATTCAGTTGAAATTTGGGAGGGCAAATTAAAAAAAAAAGCCTCTGAAAATGTATGAGAAAAAAAAAATAAAAAGGGTTTTCCCATAAACAGCCACTTGGTATAATTGTTCAAAATTTTCATGTCTTGACTTAAAACCGTTTGTTTACAAATTAGTAAAAAACTGCGTAAAAATGTCTGAAATGCGACTGGTTAAATGAAGCCCAACATTCAACTCCCAAAAGTAAGAAACACCAGCTGGCTTTACAGGAAACCAGATGCCAGCTGGGGTAAGGGGAGGGAAGAGGGGGAAAACTAAAAATTTAAAGGCACTGTATGGCATTTGCCAATGGAACGGCAATGAGACTTGCGTGATTGCTCTTCACTATGCAACACATGTAAACAAAAAAAGAAAAAAAAAAAGAAAAAGGCATTTTCATCCACATCTTAATTTTAGGCTGACTCCCATCATGGTCTGGCCACAAGTCAGAAAATGCTTTTAGTGTGAAGGGCCCCTTGTTTATTCCCAACAAGGTCACTGTGCATAGTGCCACTGTGAACAACAGCAAAAATGTAGCAAGTGCAAAAGTGAACATTTTCTACAGTGAGATCCCCAGTGCCTGGTGGAGTGCCATGGTGCCCTCGTACAGAGGGATGCCCAGCACACGTGCTTTCCTCGGCGGGCAGCCTCACCCCATACGGGGGTCCTTCCTTTGTCCTTACAGACAGTCTGGATCCCTCCGCTTTAGCTGGAGTCCCTGTTCTTCTGGTTGCGCATTAGGGGCCGATGGTTGCTCAAGATGTCCATCGAGTGCTGCCAGTGCCAGCAGGAGCGGCAGTAGTACTTGAAGCAGGCCTGGGTTCAGGATAAGAAGAGTCAGTCAAAAACCACGGCCAGCTCCTGCAGTACTGTCATTAGTCATGTCTTAGTTGATACAAGGAGCTGGACTCCTGCAACCTTTTTTCACAGCAGCTGAGGACCATTCAGGGTTTCTGCTGGCTGACTAAAATCCAACGTACAAGCTTCTTTTTACAGTTCACACCTCTAAAAACATTTTATAAGAGATCTAAAGGTAAAGCCAAGTGAGAAGCCTTTGTTTTTACACAAAACTATTTAATCTGGATCTTTAGACAATATTTATGATCTGTCAAAACCGCCTTTCACAGAACAGATCTGCTAAATATGCTGCCTCTCATTGTTGCTTTAGTTTACAGCTGGCCTAATGGGAGTATTAACTTTAAACCAACTTCAAGTATCCAAATATTAACCTTCATTTCTACACAGAACCAAAAGGTTTCATGCCCTGATCTGAAGTGATTAGACACTCTAAAGCAGGGGGGTCAAACTTAGTCACACATGGGGGCCAAAATTCAAAACTTGGTCCAAACAAAGTTTGAATTGTTAATTATTGAAATACAAAATACTTTTTCCAAATTATGCTATGTAGCATTTAGAACATACATAACAGATTAAGAAAAAAGATTAAATGAATGATTCTGTCTTAGTTAAAGAGTTAAAAAAAGAAGTTAAATATGCCTTACTCTAAGACATGAAAGTTGTTAGAGATGGATTTGATCACAATCCAGCAAATCAGGAAAAAAAGCCCTGCACTATAAACCTAATATTTGAAGTTAAAATAAAAAAATATATATTCTATTGCTCTTTCCAAAGAAAATTCAAAATTTTCTTGGCTTGAAAGTTGGTCAGCTGTCATGAGAATTCACTAAACCCAGTCATAGAGAAACTATAAACTCATATTTAATATTTAAAGTATTATCATTGGAGCCAAATAAAATGGTGAGGGCCAGATTTGGCCCACATGCCTTCAATCTGACATGTGAAACACCTTTTATTAAGCAAGACCATGTGAAGGCAGGTTTTTGTACTGACCTGGTCTCTGCAGAAGAAAGGCCCAGGCTGACGAAGGCAAACCTGACACATGGAGTCCTCCAGGTACGGGTCGATCTGAACCTGAAAGAAAAACCTCAGTGCTCAGCTGACAAGTGAAGCTACGACACCTGAATACAGTTACACATTGGCTGTACCCATTTTTTATTTTATGAGGACATGCAGCTCAATCAGGACCAGTAAAATGTGACATCATCTTACCTTCTTAGTAAACTTGGGTGTTTTAATCTCCACGAACGCTGCACACACAGCCTTCAGGTAACTACGCTGGTTGTTGAAAGTGACGCGCCCAGAACCTGCATAACAACCCAGTCAAATTTAAAGCATTAAAAGACTGAAAATCAATCAGTGCTGCCACAACTCCTCCAGCACACAGCACAGGTTTGAAGACCAGCAGTGTTACCTATGGGATACTTGTGTTTGTCCGTGTCGATGCCAGCATACATGACTCCTCCGAACAGGTCGTTCATGATGCTGGCCAGGGCCTCGGCGTTCAACATGCCGTGCAGAGCACCAACAAACACCGTCTTACTGGGGTCCAGACGCTGAGCGGGGCAGCGCACGTAGTTACTGTCAGAGATCACCCAGGGAATCACCTGCACCTGGAGGAGGAAACGGGATTTAACTTTGGAGTTTTGTTTCTCTTGTCAAGACATTAACCTTTGTCTAAAAAGCAGGAAGCCAAAGTTATGTGATTTAAAAACAAGTTTTTAGTTTTTCCAAAGTTGAGTTGAAAACTCCCTGCAACACTGGATGGAAATAAATTTTGTGACATTGCAGAAGCTTATTGGAATACCACAGCCAACGTGTGTCGTAATCAAAGCAATGAAATATTAGTATGATTTTTTTTTTTGGTAGGGATCTTTTTTTTTTTTTGGCCAGGCAGTACATAACTGAACTAAAGCATGTCAGGTAATTATTTAATCTTCTCTGAGCAGCTTCAGAATCGACATGCTAACATGTAGCATCCATGTTTAGCTACGTCAGTAAACAGCCAGCTGAATGTGATGTCAGATCTTCTGCGTATGGGGGCAACATCAGAACCGTGGAGAGTTCACACTGGAGTCTGATGAAGTCGCTTTTAAAATATTTGAAGCTCATGCCAAAAAAATCAGCTTTTTTTCCCCCCAAAATCAGAATTGAGCATTAAGACCTGCAGTGTAAACGTTGCCTTGGAAAATGGTTAGAGACATTTACAGAAAAACTCACATCCATGTTGGAGAAAGACACTTCAAAGATTAAAAAAAATTACCATTTTAAAAATCAAAACAATTCATAGTCAACCTTGAACCAACCCCATTCTCTTTGGTCAATGAGGAAACAGACGCAGCACGACTCTTCAGGAGGAACAATYGATCCATTTTGATTCATGAACATTAATCTGCAGTAAGCCAACACTTACATCTTTGAAATGAGCTTAAGAACCTTGCAGTGTTTCTCGTCTGATTTATGTGGCTCAATCAGGAACCACTACATGTGATCTACAGACGTGCAGATGAAGCTGGAGTTTCTCAATCTCAGATTATTACATCAATAAATGTCAGTTTGATTGCAGGCTGGAGAGCAGACTGCTTTAGTTTACATGMAGCATAACTTTAAATGCTTTTTTTCTTGCTCCAGTTTTCACTGGAGTGCAATTTGAATTTTAAATCCCTAATGTTACAAGAAATTAATCAGTACCAGTAAATTAAAACGTTATACTACAGAGAAACTGTTTTCTACTCACATCCTTGCAACGCATTCTGCGGCTGGACATCTTAAAGTAATACTCCCTGCTGTCCTCCGGGTGAAAGGGATCCTGGGAGCACGCTTGAAGCAAAGCCCGCACAGACTTCTCATTCTCAAACACCAGGTAAACATAGCCTTAAAACATCAAAACAGTTTAAGGTTTTAGAAAAAACAAAAACAATTTGCACAATATACAAACAAGAAAGCARACAACTTTTAAAGATGTTTGAGACGTTTATAGAAAATGGTTTAAATTTCACATAACAGCATTTCTGTTGGTGCCAACWTAAGCAGCACATAGGAGGTGGCAATACAAAAAGAAGCAATAAAAGTAGGATATTTTGGCTGTCTTGGCATGACCAATTCCAGTATAGAGATTCATGCACAGGTTGATTCTGACACATCTTAACTAAAAAAATAAAAGTGACCCAAAAAAAAGGTTAATCAGYGGTCCTTAATGTCACTATCCTGCAGCTTTGGATGTTTCTGCTTGCAAGAAATTGCAATTAAGACTTCAAAAAATGCCATTCTCCCATTTCACTCAACCTCGAGCTACACCAGGGATTCATAATGGCAGAAATAAAACCAGAATCATGCATACTTAACTAGTCAAAATAATGTTTACCTTATTATACATTCAACAAGTGTTCATTACATTACACCTAAATCAAGACCTGCAGCCTTCWACAATGAAGCTGAACTTACTAGAGCCTTTAGTGGAGAAGTTATACAAATGATCTGTAAAATCTAGAGTTGGTAGTTAAACATCTAAACCAGTGTAATTTTTAAATGGAGAAACAAGTATTTCACAAAAAAGTGTCACGTTTTTAAAAGGTCACAATAGGTCTGTCACAATTAGTCGACTAGACGCGATTATGTCAATAAAATTGTCAATGACTAATTTAACAGTCAATGCGTCGTTTTTTTCTAACTTTGTATAAAAGTAATCGTTTGTGGCTGCCCTAATTAGCACTCTACTGYGCATGTTTGTCAAGGACAGAAAGGCAGATGTGGCAGTGGAAGGTGCCGCCGCAGTTGAGAGAAAAACAAAGTTAGAAAAAAACGACGCATCAACTATTAAATTATCAACATGGTGACTGACAGGTGATGTTCCACAGTGAAATGACAAGCTGGAGCACTGCACATCTGTTAAATCTAGCTGGAAGACTTCAAATTCGTCTTCTGAGGTAAACAGCTGATTTGTTGTCAGGCTGAGCTTTATGGGAGAAGTTTTCTGTTTGAAGCTGCTCGGCCCTGTTAGAGCCGCTGCACTGTGCATCTCTCTGCTGGATGTCAGAGACAAGAGATTTAATTTATGCAGCACTAACAGGGAGTAGGCACTTCTTATTTTGTGAATTTTTAGTTTTTAATAAGCACCACTGTTTTAGCAGCCCGCCTAGGGTTATTTGGACTAATTTTTCTGATCTCTCTTTGTCAGCTCAGGTGGCGCCCTGCAGCGCAAATCAGCTGTGGAGTATGATCGGCCCGACCCGTTGTGAGGAGAGGTAGAGAAGTCATTTGATTTGGCATAGTTTAGAGCACAATGAATCCAGAAAAACATCAGAAGTCCAGAACCTGTCGCTCCTTGATGTCGTGCTCGCCCTGCGCGCCAGGCTGGTGGTTCACTCCAGCCTGTGGGCCGTTCAGACTGAACCACTGGCCCTCTGACCTGCGTCTGGGCCGGTGGTGCAGCTCGTGGGCCGGTACCAGGTTCGGATCGGTTGCGCCCGTGTCTTCTGTTATCCCTTAACGTATCAACACTAGGGTTGGGCATAATCGTATCGTGTGCAATTAATCGTCAGATAAACAATCGATTATTTTTTGGCACTTGATGATTAATACGATTAATGCCACCAGACAGACTGACTGGAGATTTCCCCAGTCAGTCCACTCGGTGCTCCTCTCCGCTTCAAATATGACGAATATTTAAACAAAGTTCTGTAATTTATTTATCTATCAACACAATTTAAAATTTGATGTATAGCCTGAAGTCTGATTTTGACACAATTTGGAAAAGATTTTTCTGAAGAGCAAATCTTTCCCACTAAATTGGTCATGTGACTAGGACATAAGGGTGTCCAGGKACTCCAGGGGATTAATCGTCAAATTAATCATTATCGGCTAAATACCACAATTAATCGTTATTAATTTTTTTGCCAATATCGCCCARCCSTAATCAACACGTTCCTGAAGTTCTGTGCAGGGCTGGGGGAGCTCGCAACTTCTGGCTGTTACGCTTGAATTAAAAGAAAAATTCCYGTCTCCGCAASGTGATCTGTAACCTCACCAAAATTTAATGGTGTGTTACGTGTGCTAGTATGCACATGTGATGTAAATTTCATGACAATCCGTCCACAAGTTTGAGTAAAGCCGTCGACAGACACTACCGAAAACATCACCTCCTTGGCGGAGGTAATAAAGATGCTTCTTGTCAACTGTAAGCTATGAACACCCTGTTTCCTGCTCCTCATATGCCCAGAATCACCACCTCGTGTGGAGGTTTGGGACCAGCAGTCCAACCCAACAGCATGCCATTGCCTCACCACTGTGCCACCTTAAACACCGAGGAGGAAAAATTTAGCCTACCAGCTTGTCGTTACCTTTAGCCACATTACCTTTAGGAGGGCAGCGAGGGTGCTTCCCATCCTTACCTGGCCACTCCACGGTCAGAGGGCCATAGCCACTGAAGGTGTTGATCAGGCCAGCTGCAGCACACATCAGGACAGCAAACAGTTTGAATGAAGGCAACAATCGTTAGAATAAATATAGCTGTRGGAGTTATAAAGCATGGAAACTATGTAGGTTAATATGCTAAGAACAACATCGGGCTTCTTGGAATAGTTATTTGTGGCTGTAACGATTGTTTAAACTCTGGTTCAGTTAGTAACRTTTAAATGGATCCATGATTAGTTATAACATTAGACTTTATTTGATAAACATTTATTTTAACTGTAAAATAAAGACTAAAACCACTGTAGGCTGTTTAGTTTTGTAAATTTTTTAAATATATTTTTACACAGACGGAGCCATTTTATTTACATGCAAAGCATTCTGGGTAAATGATGATGTGGATAGGTCCTCGGTGTGAGCGAGCTATATCCACCACAAAGTTAATCTTGGACAATATCTGATGATCGACTCTTTTAAATGAAACCAGAGAGTGATGACACAGAGGAGAAGGTAGAAATGACTCAGCCTGTAACTGAAAATATGGATGGAGGACCTCAGTTTAGCTTGGTTTGTCGCGTTAGCGCTGAGCTCATATACAGTACATATGACAATATAGTGTCAGCGCTAGCGCAAAGGCTAACAGACTAAACTGAGGTTCTTCTTCCATGAAGCAGCTCTGTTGTCCTCCATCTATATTTTCAGTTACAGGTTGAGTCATTTCTACCTTCTCCTCTCTGTCAACGCTCTCTGGTTTCATTTAAAAGAGACAATCGTCAGATATTGTCCAAGATTAACCTTCAAGGTGGATATAGCTCACTCAGTGAATCCACGTCATTTACCCAGAATGCTTTGCATCTAAATAAAATGGCCCCGTCTGTGTTAAAATATATATTTTAACAAAACTAAACAGGCTACAGTACTTTTACGGTCTTTATTTTACAGTCAAAATAAATGTTTATCAAATAAAGTCTAATGTTACAACTAATTGGAGATCCCTTTAAGGACTAAGTTGCAAAGATCAGATTAACAGAACAGAAATGAGTCAAAGCAGACTTCGCAGCACCTTCAGTGATGTCCCAGGGCACACCACCAAGAAAGACTTTGCAGGAGTAAATAGGATCCTTGTTGGTCCTGGGGGGCAGCTGACCACTCCAAGTGAATGTGGCTTCATTTACAGCTGATCAGAAAAGCAGAAGAAGAGGATTAGTCAGGGTTTTGTGATTTTTAAAGAATGGAAAAGGCAAGTTCAACGAGATGTAGAAGGACCTGCAGCCTGTCTGTGCAGACGGGCCTCCCTCTCAATGCTGAATGCATCATCTGACTGGTCCAGTAGCTCTGAACCGGGCCAGGAGGAGCCGGTGCGCCAGCGGCGGGAAATAGACGAGGAGGCGGGGCTGGCGCTGGATGGCGGGGTCAGAGGAGAACTAGAGTCCTGAGGGTCCAGACGGGAGCCCAGCCTCAGCAGATCCTTCTGCATGTTTGATGATGGATAAGGCAGAGGAGGAGAAATCCGCAGAGTTGACTGTAAAGACAGAACCAGACAACTGATAGTAAACAGACAAAGTCATTAAAACCTCTTAATTCACACATTTTAGATTCCATTAATGGAAAAAAAATAAATTTCATATGTAAACACACGAGTTTGTTAATGTGTAGGATATTTTAAACAAGTTATTGTATAAAACTGAGGCTTTTCCTACAGTTTAATGACAAAGGTGGCCTTTAAAATTGTTTTAGTAGACCTGCATCAAGTCTGAGATGACAACTGAAACAAATATTTATTAAACTGTTCAAAGCAGATAATGTTCAATAAACCTTAACATGTGTAGAAACTGAGGAGAAAAGCCCTTTTGGTGGTCTTTGATTACACTGAACGAGTCAAACTGCTGCCAGAGTGCAATCAGTCCAGTTATTAATGTGCTTCGTCAGCAATTATTTTGACTGAATTCAACTATGGGCTCATTAGTAGGCTGGTCACGACTTGGAGCACAAAGCATGATGGGATAGAACTGATGCATGTGTGTTTTAATCATGTCTTGAAGATACTGTACATCAAAATACTTGTATAATTGTAACTAGAACAGTAAACATTGTTTAGTTAGCAAAGCAAAAAACATGCGACTTGAATGTAACTGAGGAGCAAGTGTTGCTACCATCATGGCTTCTTTACATGAGAACACTGTCAGCCTGGCCTGATGTAAACATCTGGAGTCAAATCCATTCAACAACTTAGTTCAGGTTAAACTGACATTTTATYATTAGTTAATACTTTCTGAACATGTTTCACATTTTAAAACTTAAACTGTCAATGGAAATCTTTACCAGTGACTTACTGCATGAAGCTGAAATTTTATCAGTGCTTTAGTTTGAGAAGCTCAATGAAACTGTCCAGATGCCATAACAGTGTGTCATACACTACTTTAAAGTACCTGTGACACGCATATTCTTCAAATAAAAAAAGTAAAAAAAAAAACATCTTTATATTTAGACTAATTTAAGTTTGAACAATACCCGATTTTACCCCATTTTGTCCCTTAACTGACATATTTTCTTTTGACCTTGACTCAGCTAAAGTAAACAGGAAGTGACATCAAAGGGGAATTCTTTAAGAAAGCTCCCTGGWCTTTGTTTATTGAAACACTACTTGACCCCTGACTCTTCATCTCTTTCTGACAGCGACTCAAAATAATCTTAACAGATTGCTCTCTACAGTCTGTTAGCTGTTGTAGCACTGCTCTGTTCACATTCAGACATTCCCCTTTGACATCACTTCCTGTTACTTCAAAGGCAAATATCTCAACTGTTCATCTCAGCGACATGAATTTTCTTTTGCAATATTTTGTCAATGACATTTTTTCAAAAATGCATTCATATGCATTACAAAAGTTTGACGTCACAGGCACTTTAATGATTTTAGTGCAGAAACACGTGTTTTCAGTAACACCAAGTTGAGATCAGCTCATTACAGCAGGTGCAGATCAGCCAAGAATTAGTCTTATATATCTGGATTTTGAGTAGCAGTGTTTTATAATATTAGGCACCACAATAAACAGGAGGTAGAGGTGTGTGTGTTTTTACCAGCATGTCACAGAGGTGATCTGAGCCAGAGCTAAAGCCACTGGTTTCAGAGTCTTCAGGACTGCTGGAGCGAGAGTTCAGGAAGGGGCTGGAGTCCAGTCGGTTCGCCATCCGTGCTATGCCTGGGAACTTCTCCAGCAAGTCAGCAGTCATGCTCACGGACTCGTGGGGCAAATACCCTGGGGACTTCCCAAGGATGCTACTGAAGGGGCTGTTCAGCATACCCAGCACTGAGGAACAGGACATGTTTACAGCATTATCAAAGAAAGCTTGCTGAGTTCACAGAACCGTATTGACTTGTCAGCAGGCGAAGCCGCACAAAGGTTTTTTTTTTTAAGTTCAATCTCCAACAAAAAATGTTTTACGCAGCTGGATGAGCCAAAGATGGATTGTGCTGAATTTACAGTTCTGCATTGATCTAGTTGAAATGCAGTCTCTGGTTCTTAGCAAAAGTTCTGCAGATTAGCATGTAGAGGCAGCTACGTGATAGCCTCCACCAAAAGGAGCTCAAGTTTGGAACAATTTGGAGCATTTCCTGTTTCACACCTGATATCTTGACTTACGAATTTAAAACGCAGGACTTCTTTCATTGCAGCAAAGAGTTTGTCACCTTTGTCTAATTATTTAAATGACTAACAAGCAGTTCATTTAGCATCACTTTCACTTCTAATAGTAAAGTGACATCCAGTAACTGTTATAAGTATTAAAGGGATTATTCAATGACTGCATTCAAAACTGTCCCACTTTACTGCAGGCCCAGTTTAGACACCAGCTTGGTTTAGACATGTAGAAAAAGACTTGGCTGCTACAAATGGGGTCAGAACGAATGAGGGATCTTTATAATTAGTGGTACCTCCCTGAAGACAAGCACTCATCTTAAGACAGACATTAAAAATGTCAAAATATGACTAGTGCAGTTTCCTTACAATACGTCATATCTCCCATTAAATCCACCATCAATCATAGCTGAGATTTAGTCTACAGCAACATGAAAGGGGGACAGAAAAAGAAAGATCCACTGGCTTGTTTTTGTGCCTGCCGGCTTGCTAGAGACGCAGCAAAGCAAAACTGCCACATCATCCTTCCAAACAAAGCTACAGCCTGTTCCCACACAATGACACATGTTCAATCAGATGTCATTAATGAGGGGTAAACTTCAGTCACAAAGTCTGCTGGGTACACAAACATCTGGTCATAAGAATCAACCTGACTGGGAACGAACCAGCACAACTTCTGCTGTCAAACTGATTCACACTCAGGTAAACAGAACCTCTGGTACTTACCAGAGGAAGAGGAAGAGCCGGTCTGAACCTGGGACATGGGCGTGTGCATGTCACTCTCCTGGCTGCTCCACGGTCTGTCCCAGCTGGACAGACGGAGAGAATGGAGGCCAAGGCCCAGGTCTGTGACGTCCGACGAGCCCCTGGACGAAGGCACGTCCTGGGAGCCGGGTATGCCCCCACAGTTGGGAAAAAGCATCCTCCTGCTGCCCACTGCAGCCCGATCCGACTCTTCTGGATCCAAGATCGAGTTAAAAGACAAAAAAAAAAAAAAAAAAGACAAGAGAAAAGTGTTAGCAAAAAAATTGTTGAGTCGGCGTGTCTTACAAAGGAAATGACAAGATAAAAAGTCTGCTGACACATTCTTTGAAGACCCTTCTGAAAACAAACACTCCCCTCATCGACTCGTCTCCCCTACCCTGGCTGACGGCGGAGCTAACCTGCTGCCTCGGTGCCTGACACGACTGCCATGCATCTCCGTCCGCATCACTGACCCACCTAGCAGCATGTGACATAGCTGCTGATGCACTCGCACACCCCTGCTAATGACATCAGCCTCCTCCCCACCTCCCTGCCGCCTTGTTTAACAAACGTGTAATGAAAAATTCCCATGGAAGCTACTGGCTGGCCGATCCGAGGTCCTCCCCCGTCTCTGGTGGGCAGCGCACGACTCGGAGCGAGCGGGGCGACAGCTGGACCCGTTTACTGCCGGCACTGTCTGGGTCCAGCCTGGTTTCCCCGAGCGAGCTGACGGAGGCAGGAGGGTGGGCGGACGGAGGGGGAGAACTACAGCAGCATGGTGGGAGGCAGCGTGAGTGAATGACTCAGCAAACTTGGAGTTAAAGGTACTTGAAGCTCGAGGATGCTCAGGGAATTTTCTGAAACAATCAGTGGCTTGTGAACGTCTGATTATTATTTTTATTGGTTCTCAGATAAAAAACAGGCATGCAGAGCTTTGCTGTAGCAGCTGACCGATCAGATGTTAATGACGGCGTGGATGTGCACTGCCAGCTCTTCCCCCTCCCTGCCTGCCTGGACAGCTTCCAGCTGACTGTTACTCTCCTGATTCAGCAACACGCAGCTCAGGCAGCCGGGGCACAGGCCAAAGTGAAAGTTTAGCTCCGTTTACACCAAGATCAACTTTACTTAATGTTACAACACATTTTATGCTGAACTGCTGCTGCATCAAACTCAAACAGTATTATGAAGTGCAAAACTTTGATTTTTAGCAAAATAACTCCAAGGCACTCTGCTGCACTTATTTCTTGGCAAATCTTACAACTAGGGTAAAAAAAAAAAACATTGCTGCAATGCTGCAGACCAGTGATTCAGCATGAATCAGCTGCTGGCAACCAAATGATAAAGGCAAGCTTAAAGGTTAAACATACAAAATGAGACTGAAAGACGCCTACGAAAAGACAACTTTCACTATTAAAACAGAACCTTGTTTCATATTAAAACAGAACCTTGTTTCATATTAAAACAGAACCTTGTTTCATATTAAAACAGAACCTTGTTTCATATTTAAGGTCATTCTAGTTTTGTTTTGACCGCGTGTCACCCTGACACAAAAAGCTTTTTGTTAGAGTAATGTCAGAAACCATTTAGCTTCATAAAACTGAAACTTGGGAATAGGGTTGGGCAATATTGGTAAAATAAAATAATCACAATTGTGGCATTTATCGATAATCATTCATATGATATAACCAATGTCGTGACCTCAGTCTGAATTTTTTTGGCTTTCCTCATACTTCAGTTTATARTGGTGTTTCAGGTGTTATCAGGTCTTATAAGTTGAACATATAAATACTGTAGGTCATCGTCACGCAGCATTAATTGGAGTAATTCCAAACTGTCAAAAAATTGACAGTTTTTTCCCATGACCAATTGCCCTAGATACATTTGTACCCAACCATATTTGGGAGTTACAGGTACTTTCAGCCTCATTTAGGTATTTTCCAGCTGATTAATGCAAGTCTATGGGCACATTAAATAACACCATTTAGCTAAAACTTGATTTAACTGATTTAAACTTAACCTTTATAGWTAGGGATCTGAATACTTACACACTTTGGTTGGCCTTAATGTTATTTTTGTTCTACTACAAGTTGTTTGTGACAACATTTAATTAAATTATACTTAAATTAAATTTTCACTTCATTTATTGACTCAATGCATTCCACAGATGATGGGATCCAGTTGAGACTAAAACAGTAATGTGTGACAATAAATTATTTTGTACCAGTTACTATGTTTTGCACAATATGTAGGTTGAAACGATCAAACGTGAGGTGTAGTAAATTAGCTTGGGAGATAATGTGAAAGCAAAAAGGCTGAAGAAGTTCTTCCATGAAGCAGCTCTGCTGTCATTTTCAAGCTGAGTCATTTGTACTTTCTCCTCTGTCARCTAGGGTTGGGCGATATTGGCAAAAAACTTAATCACGATTAATTGTGGTGTTTAGACGATTACGATTAATTTGATGATTAATCTCCTGTAGTCTCTGGACACCCTTATGTCCTRGTCACATGACCAATTTAGTGGGAAAGATTTGGTCTTTGTAAAAATCGTTTTCAAACTGTGAAAATCACAGACTTCAGGCTATACTTTAAATTTTAAATTGTGTTGATAAATAAATTACAGAACTTTTGTTTAAATGTTCGTCTTATTTGAAGTGGAGAGGAGCACCAAGCGGACTGACTGGGGAAATATCCAGTCAGTCCGCCTGGTGGCATTATTCGTATTAATCGTCAAGTGCTAAAAAAAAATTGATTAATGTTTTTCTGACGATTAATTGCAGAYGATACGATTATGCCCAACTTTATTGTCAGCGCGTTTCAGTTTCATTTAAAAGCACTGAACATTAGACATAAAGCTGGATGAAGCTGCACCACAGCAGCTGGAAAACACCATTTACCCAGAATGCAACTCATCAGAGGTAGCTTTAAAAGATTTCCTACAGATTCCTGTTTACAAGTGTGTAACTTTTGTGTTAATTAAAAAAACTTGCATTTTATTAGTTTGACATTTTTGTGAATTAAATGCATTTTTTAAGGAGACATGATATAGTGAAAAGTGCAAACTGCATAACCAAATTGTACTTTTAATAGATTTAAATTAAGTTTATAATGCCTYTAAAGTGTTATGCACATGTTTACACACACATTTCCAGCTTTATCTAGACAGAAGCGACCACTTGTGATGTTTACTCTGAACTTTTCAGGCTCTCATTTATATTTTTGGCTGATTTGCTCTAAAAGTAGCTGTCTGCTTATTTAATCTTTTTTAATTTTACCACACAGCAGGTCGGGCCTTTGCTTGGAGCTGTTGGGTGTGGTGCACACACCGGTGAAGTCCAGCGCGTTCCCCAGCATGGTGTTCATCCTGCGGAAGATGTCTGCGTTGCTGCAGGTGGACAGAGCCGGGGACTCGGTGTCCGGGGTCTCAGGCCTGCGGGCATCGCTTCTCTGCGGGGAAACAAGAGCACAAAATGGAGGGAAATTAGCCCGAGTTCAAGCTAAACACGAAATTAATGGCGAGAGCTGAAGGAAAATAGTTTTTCAGTTTTCATTTGTATGTATTTTAATTGAAACTAGTGGACAGGGCGTGCCGCTAGTTGCTTTTAATGTTTAAATAAAACATTTGTTGTGGTTAAGGTAATTTATTTATTGTATTTTTCACTCACCAGGGAAAACGCCATGATGATGTGGACAGACAGCCTAAAAGAAATGTCACAGTAACGACCCGGGCCTGAAATAAAAGGTCATATTTATCACATCTGCTAGCAGCTAATTAACTTTAATTTGGGAAACGTGTGCTGACTGCGTGACCGCGCCTCGAGTGCCCCCGTCCRCGTTCACGTGCTCCACATCAAAGGCGCCGCCTTGAACTGAAACTGAAACTAAGTTTACATTATTTATTTTTTTTTTACTTAAAATATCATGTAATTAATAAACTCTGATAAAATACAATAAAGATTTTAGATTACTAAAATGTTTTTATTAACTATAAAACAATGTAACAGTATAGAAATAATTTAATAATTTCCTATTACCTAACAACACACTAAGAAAAAAGTCACTATTGTAAAAAAAACAATTTAAAAAATATACGTAATGTCAACAGCAAAGATAAACAAACAAAGATATGTTCCTCTGCACGCAGATATTTATAAAAAATAAAAAAGTCAACAGTGCAAGTAAAGTGGTCAATAGAGCCGAAATTGTARTAATTTGCTGGATGTAAAGCTAAGAAACTGCAACAGATGTATCGATCTCAAACCGCTAGTATCGATCCGATAACGAGTATCATCTGGGTATCGATAATTTCTATGTTTAGATCGATACGCCCAGCCCTAAAGTGGAAACAGAGCAAAAGGTGGTATTCTCACACACACACACACACGTGTGTGTGTGTGTGTGTGTGTGTGTGTGTGTGTGTGTGTGTGTGTGTGTGAGAGAGAGAGAGAACACCACCTTTTGCTCTGTTTCCACTTCAGGGCTGGGCGTATCGATCTAAACATAGAAATTATTGATACCTAGATGATGCTCGTTGTCGGATCGATACTAGCGGTTTGAGATCGATACATCTGTTGCAGTTTCTTAGCTTTACATCCAGCAAATTACTACAATTTCGGCTCTATTGACCACTTTATTTGCACTGTTGACTTTTTTTTAATTTTTCATATCTGCGTGCCCTGGAATATATCTTTGTTTGTTTATCTTTGCTGTTGACATTACGTATATTTTTTAAATTG